TGGAGCTTTTCAGCACTTTAAGGGCGCACACATTAGGTGAATGTACATTTTTATGGGTGGGAAAAAGTGTGATAAAAAGTGTAATATGTGTAAACAGAATTTCCGCGGTTTTAGAAGGAATTATCTGAGAGTGTGAGAGAGAGAGAGAGAGATAAAGAGCTGGAAAATGCTATAATATCTCGGTCTACAATATTGGCAATCATTAAAAATGCATTTGTGACCATGGAAGACGCCTCAGCATTTCGGAGAGATGGTCGTGACAAGCACAAAAGCCGCCGACGTTCATTTTAGTATGTCACTGGCAAAATTCATTCTCTCCTCGCCACCAAATACATTTACATTCTCCAGCATCTCGAGTGCCATTAAAATGCACAAACAAATGAATGAGATTCTCGTTTGCCATCCCCCCACATCAGCCTGTATCTCTGAGAGGCACCACTTTAAGTTGTTCCCTGTCTTCTCTGTCTCGCCAATGACAATTCCATGGGCGAACTTGAGCACAGAAAATTCCCTCAGACACACAGAGGCATAGTCTCTTGTGCGGCATCGAGTGAGAGATTGAGTCTTCAGGATGCACTCAGGGAAAGCTGGGGATGCGACAGAGCCTGGAAAGTTTGTGCACTTGTGAGCTTGTTGGCGGATTTGCTGGAGTACAGAAGCGATTGTATGGCAAAATGGTCTGAAAACCGCATCTACAACAATAAGTAAAGAATATGAGACGCTCGAAAACTTTCTAATAATTCCACATAGCTCAGCTTCTCTTGTTGTCTTATTATTCAACAGTCGTTTGACTGAGAGAATGCACTGTGTCAACAATTCTTTCTCACTCCATATAATTTCTGCGTTTGCAATGCAATAATGACAATTGCAATATATATTCCCTTGAGATGTGCACAAGAAACGGAAGAAATCCCCAAGGCATCAGTGCAATTTGCATTGGGACATTTTGCAAAAATGAAGTATTTTTTTTTTTTCGGAATGTATGGCGATGATAAAATGGCACGATGAATAGGCAGTCATTTTCCAAGCATCGCGCATTATTGCATTTTACGAGACACCGTGAAAATTTGTGTTTATTGGAAAAGGGGTGGCGGTGTGCAATATTTGTTCCATTTCCATCGTGTCGGCATGATTTAATCATCTCAGGGGAGTGTGGAGGTGGAAGGCGACAGAACTACCCTCACGAAAAATACCCTGGGAGACTCTAGACAGTTTGTGCTGAAAGATAGGAGCAGCCGAAAAGTCGCAAAGTCGACGAGAATTTATGGGATGCTCTCCCACTTGTATGAATTTTCCACTGACTCTGTCGGCCCAGCCAACAGAAACTTCCCCAACCTTATTTATACATGTATCCCCGAGATGGTGGAAATAAAAAATAATAACATTCCCAGGGAGTCTCGGGAAATTTGGATGAATTTGCTCAAGTGAAACAGAGAGAGAGAGAAATAGAGCGACCAGGGCGAATCAGGCAGAGGCTAACAATCGAACCAAGTTATTTAGTTTTGTGATTATTCAATTGATACTTTGCTAATCATTTCAATTAGAATTTGAATAGAATGAAATATTGAATATTTTTACCACACATTGCCGCCAGAGGGCAGCAGTTTAGAGGCAAGTAGAAGTTTCGATTGTACTTTTCAAATGCAAATTTGGCCCTGTGATCAGAGCGCTGCTTTTTTCCTACTATTAGGACATTGAATTCAGTTTGTGGTAAAAAAAAATCAATATTTAAATTGAGATTCCTCAAAAATCAACTAATGACTTTCCCCTTGTGCAGAGGTTAAGAACTGAATAGATATAGACATATCACAGCTCTTCAATCTCAATGGGAACCGTGGCAATAGTTTTTGTATCGTGAAAAACTTACAGTCTTAGTTAAGTGTTAAGGTGACAAAGAGAAAAGTGGAGCATTGTGAAGTGTCACTTCTTGAGCGCTTCCTTCAGAATGCCAATTAAATTGGGACAAATGAGATTTCCCTTTAAGTATTTAGGGATTGATTAAAGCGTAAGATTTCATACATAATATTATTAAAGGAATTCACCATCGAATTCCTGTAATTAATCAAATTAGGTATTGCGCGAAATTTTGTCTGTAAGAAATTTTGCAAGAGCGCCAAATGGGGTGGTTTTATGGTGAGTGACACACCCTTCTACTCCCGAAGAAATCTTCACCCCATTAATCGAAAATAGCCCCACCAATAAATTTAATCCAATGGAGACAGTTATGAGGCGAAATTTGATCACTCTCCCTCTTGTCACCCCCTGTGGAAGTTCGCCGCAGAATATTTCCTTCACTCTGATGGTTAGTTACATTATTAGTCTCCGAAGCCCAGTGTTTGTTTGTCAAACTCTGCAGAGTCATAAAAATAAATGAACCGATCGATTCGCCTCACTTTTTGCCGAAGTGGCCCCGGAAAAAGAAGCGCGTGCGAGGTTGGAAGGAGTGGGTGGATGAATTTGCCGCCCAATATTTATCAACTCACCATAAATTAGGAAAATATCCCCCTTGTGAGAGAGAGAAAGGACAAGGGCAAGTGGGGCGTGTGTGTGTGTGTGTGTGATCTCCAGACGAGGAATGAATGGCGGAGCGCCATAATTGAATCGGGAGTGGCATATTTGCATACGATTTTTACAGCCACACTCTCGCCTTTCTAGGTCACACACACAAGAAGTCATCTCGAATTTTATCGTGCATTCGCTTCTTCAATTGATTACATCATCAAATGTGACTAAATATGCCTTCTCGCGCCTCATCGCGAGCAACACTTGGAAGGCAAATTGAGCTGTGAGACAAACACAATGATAGAAAATATCAATTCACGGTCATATTCGTGGAATTATATCAATTTGACGCCTGTCACCCGGACAAATCGGGCGGAGGTTTATCAATCACACAATTGCAAGGCACAAGCCTACAGGCTTTTCTGGACGGTGGAGCTTTCGTGTGAACAGTCAGAAAGCGCACAGCGCGAAAGCTCTCAGACGTCCCCAAAGGGGAAATTGTGTGGTGTTGTGCGGACGGGTTGAATTTGGGGAGATTTGCTGAGTGGATTATTCAATTAAAATGTTGGAGAAGTTGCAAAACTTTCCATCACATAATGCGATATGGTTGAGGATTCTTGCAAGAATTCTCCTTCCTTGCAACACTCGCCTGGAAATCCCACGCAAATTTCCGTGGGGGATTATCCGCCATTGCGAACATGGCTTTAATGAGCGGATGGCTTTCCCTTGGGCTTCTCCCGAAACTCCAGTTGCTGAGCATTTCGTCGTCTTCTTTTTTTTTGTTGTTTCGTACGATAAAAGAACTGATTCAAGAAATCCATTAGTCACCGAGTGAAATTCATTTGAATAACGCGATAACACACGACGGAGTAGCTTCTTGTGCTCTGCGCAGTGCATTTTGGGGGCACTAGAAATAGATTTACGATCATGTTTTGGGGATTAAATGATGGCAGGTGGTCAATTCTCACAGCAAACTTCTCCTTGTCATACGGAGAAACAGCTCTGACGCCATCCTTTCGTTGGAGAAGATGGAAATACGGCGCGTGACATGCTTGAGAGTGTCAAAACAGGAATTCACTCTTATGCTCCGCCCCCTCGCAAGCTCCGCCCAGTTAAAAGAGTTCCTCAACAAATTTGGATGAAAAACTTGACTGTAAACCTCTAGAAAAAATTTTCTCTCTCTCTCTCTCTCTGTCTGCAAAGCGCTGATCGACAAATATTTACCAATAGCACGTGAGTTTGTGTTATTTTTCGTTTGCAGCTGTCCAACAATGTTAGAGGAAAGTTTCCTCTAAACCTTCTACTTTTTACAAGTTTGACTTAATCACAAATCTCAATGACATGCTTCGGCTCTTGACGCACTCTTGTTTTTGCATGTCGCGAAGAGTGTTAATGTGCGGGTTTTTTTCTTTCTCTCTCTCTATCGTGATCGTGATATGTTGATCGCATTTGTATGTATATTGTTGGCTTGATGGGCGAATATTGCAGAAAGAGCGCGCGATCAATTCTTTATGATGAATTAATAGGGGCATCAGTTGGCAAGAAATTCATATTTATATAATACTTTTGGCATCCATTGGTGGGAAGAGTGAGACGGTCTGAGTGTCGGAAATACATGCGAAGAGGGAAAATCTCGAATTTATAATTTTACCATCTGTTGCCATACATTGAAAATTTCTGCTCGAGAGTCGCACTGGATCACGAGATCAATGATCGTTTCAGCGAAAAACCTTTCTCGTGCTTCGCCTTTTTGCTACTCGCTTTATATATATATATATTCTATATATTTTGTGAATAAATAAATATGATGAAAATACCCGTGTGCGTGTGCCTGGCTTAGCAGAACCAAATGTAACAAACACATGAGGTAATGTGTATCACCTCAGACAGAAAGGAGAGAATTTCTTGCGCGACGGCAGAACAATTGAGCATTTCAAATGTGGTCGGATTTTGTTGCCTCGCCGGCGCTCTGTGGCAAAATTTCCAACATCAATGCCATCGCGCCCACACACTTATCGCACTGTTCTTATGTCTCTCGGACGGAAATCGCCTTAAGATACGCTCGCACACATGCAACACTGTTGCACGAAGAGATCGTATAACAAGCGACGCGGAGTCCACAGGCCGAAATTTGAGTTATTCCATTTACGGAGAACAATGGGACACACATCTGCAGAATTCAGAGATTATTTAGGTTGAGGATTGCGTCTTTGCTATCACGTGTGCTTTTGAAATTGATTCTGAGACTGCAAATGTCATTTGTATCCAAAGATTTAGGAGTTTTTTCGGTGGAACGGATCATCAAAGTCTCGGTTAAGAAACAACAAAGATATGAAAACTCTATTTAATCCTCATTAGTGCTGTTCTTATGATCTGCTGATGTTTAGCAGAGTTGCTGCGTTTTACATAGTTTCTTGATTAAGTGAAAAATCAGGGAAAACGCACATGTACTTTATATTGAGCTTAAACACTTCTTTCTTTTCTCTATCTTCTTTCAGACTAAATCCCTGAAGTGTGTAACCTGATCCTGGCTTTGCTGTAGAGCTTTTCGGCTGACGTGTGAGGGGAAGATCGCAAGGAGAGCACTGAGAAATCTGCTGTCAGAGAATAGCTTCTGCTTCGCCCGTGAGAAAAAGTGATCGCAAGCTGACGAGTCTTTGCTGTGAAGGAATCAACTCTAGTCCCAAATTTGCCATCAACTGACGGTGTTCATGAGAAGCTTCCCAACATCGATCGACTTGTGATACAGTGAGAAAGAGAGAGAGAGAGAGAAAGAGAGAAGCCAAGAGAGAGACTCCTGAAGACGCACACCGAGTAAAACTTTGAGGCTTTGTCCTGACATATATCTGTGAGTGTTTCGCGTGTGATTACCACAAGGAAGAGAGCACAAGAGCAAGTCGCAGAGATGGCCACAATGGTGAATATGAACAATCTGCTGAACGGCAAGGACTCACGCTGGCTCCAGCTGGAGGTCTGCCGTGAGTTTCAGCGCAACAAATGCTCACGCCCGGACACCGAGTGCAAGTTCGCCCACCCACCGGCAAATGTGGAGGTCCAGAATGGTCGAGTGACCGCATGTTACGACAGTATTAAGGTGCGTATCGTCTTCAGCATTGATCTTCACATTCACAGAGAGCGCGAAGGCGCGCTTGCCAAGGAGTGCGTCACACACTCAATTGGGCGCCACGATTAGACATTCTTCGTGCAATTAATTGATTGACACGAGTCGTGAACTTTGACGCGAAATTCCACTGATTAATTCAATGTCTTCAGTGGCAGTGACTGTGATTTTACACCGAAGCATGCGACCGCGAAGCTAATTTTGGTGTATGAAAATTCGATCTGATATTTGGGATAAATGCAGTGTGATTTCATGCTGAAACTTTATTCAACAGTAAATTAATACTGAAAGTTATACGGTATAGATTACATCTAGGGATAATTCTGTCTGATAGTTGATATGAAATCAACCAAATAATATGGAATTTGTTGGGTGAAATTCTATGAAATCTATAATGAATTTATTGGAAATGTTTTTAATAAAGCTCACTAATTAGTCAGATTTGCAATATTTTCCTCTTTGAAGTGATTTTATAATCCTTTGCAAAAGTGAAACTTGACAAAGGATTTTCTATCTAATTGGGGGATTAGATTGGGCGTTGAATAAGGTAGAGATTTATTGAAATTTCGATTTTTCCTCATTTAATGTAAAAATTTCACAATTATCCAAACAAAAACACAAGAAAAAAGTGTTTAAACAACAGAAATGGTGAAATCATGCATTCAAATTTACAGCCAAAAAATCAGTAAAACTTCCCACTTTCGTGTTTTGTTTTGTGGAACTTTCTCTAATGAAGCTATTTGCCAAAGCCGACGGCCAAAGAGGCTGATGCGTTGCACGCAATTCGGATAATTCCTACTTGCAACCGCCAACAACATAATAACACATCATTATGCAACAACATGAGATTTTCCGTGCAATTGTGCGCGCGCGCGAGCATCTTGAAGAGTGCGCGTGGCTCTTGGCGTCCCTGTTGTCTGTTTCTCTGTTGTTATTTTTTTTTATCTCTGTTTGGAGAGCGCTCGCGCGATTTTTTTTTAATTGATTTCCCATCGCGAGAATGCAGATTCTGAGCGAGGGTGGAAAACTCATTTTCAATGTTCGAAAAGGGGGAACAGAGAGGAAAGCTGAAGTTGGAGAGCAAACAATTTGGACATCATTTCAATTCATCACCATTCAATAAATGTCAGGGCAGAGCGCGGTCTTCCCAAGGGTGGGATTTGCATAATTGCGAGTGTGTGTGTGTGTGTGCGAGGAAAGTCTCTAGTGTGTTTCCCGTGCGAGGAAAAGAGGCCGTGGGTGGTGGGAAAAGTGTGTGATGGCGCATAATATTGAAATTAGCGTATATTGGAATTGATGCGTTTCTCATCGCTGTGAATTTTCCTGGGCATTTTCATTTTCCAAAGGAGGGTGCGCGTATATATATTTTGGAACAATGTTTGCGTGAAAAATGCCTCCAATAATTGACAATGAGGGAATTAATTTCCCTACGCTGAGGCGCTTAGAATGCGAGGTGAATAATAAAATGGGGCCGATTTTTGTAACTAATTAGTGGAGGATTGTTGTAGAAATTCCATGGCGTGTGGAAGGAGTGGAAAAAAGGCCACGGAATGTGAAACCTTTAATTTTCACCCGCAAATTCCTCTTCACTGCTAACATTTTGCCGGTAATTTAATCCAATTTCCCTTCCCCTCTGACTCCCATCAATTGGATTCTGGGCGGCCGCCCTCAATTAAACTATTTCACATTCATTTCATGTCTCAGGGCGCGCACTTCCCTCTGAATTTGTCATCAATCAAAGTGATGGTTTGAGTTTCAGCTGTATGTGGATGCTCTCAAATTGCCCTCCGGGCGCGCGCTGTAAAGTGGGACGCGCGATATCTGTCGTGGTGAAGATGCTTGCAGAGTTCATATAAAATGCTGTATAAGAACCACAAAAGTCTGCAAAAATCCGTACAGAACAGCATATCGAACAGCATCGCGCGCGCGAGTGGAAAAATCTCTGGCAAGAGACCTTTGGCTTAAGTGACTTCCTCGGGACAGCGAAGCTTTTCTGTGCAAACAAATTGAAAATGTTTAAATCTAATTTTCCACCCCGTCGAGCGTCATCAGCCGTCGAGGGGCGACCGGGGAAATTGGTCACCACCCGTATTTGACTGCAGAATCACCCACTGCAGGTAGCAAACATTTGGGGTGGCGCGCCCATCCATTTGTCTACACGTTCGCCCACATTTGCGACTGTGTTCAGCGATTGTTTTCTTAGGTGGATTTTCACAATGGAGTGTAATTAACTTTAAAGCGATTCCGCACGATTATTCAGAGGACGGTTTTAAACCTGTGATCATTTCTCCAGGAGAGAATTTTGGGGTGTAAAAGTGCTGTATTTATCAGATGGTAAAATTGTCCGCCATTTTGAACATTCCAAGAAAACGTTTTCCTCATTTACTTAGTCTCTATGGAATGGATCAGATCCATATTGCAGCATGATATAGCTGACATCGAGACTATTCCAATGAACCTACACTTAAGGCTCTGTATCCTTCCTGATCATAGATATGAAGGACAAAATTTTGAACAATAAAATTATTCTCATGCTAGGTTTTACCTCTAATTTCCCAGAGTCTTTTGAGTATCTATTAAATCAAATACCATCAGTCAAAGCTTTCACGGGAAATTTTCGGAGTATTTATCTCATAGTGAAAGCTCTCTGAAAGACGAGGGACTTTGCACTTAATCAAGAGTGAAGGGTGAATAAAATCCCGCGCAATGTTTCATCTTCCCGGAGTGGAAATCCACTGAAGAGAGTTCCGAAACCATTTCTCAAGTTGAATCTGACTGTGGAGAATGCCATCGCGGAACTGTCACTTTGGCAGCAAAGCTGGCGAAAAGGCATGTTGCATTCAATGTGAACGCTCGTGTGACTCTCGGGGGTGGCAGAAAGGGCAGTGAGAAGGACCCCCGCGATGGCACTGAGCAGTGAATTGTATGTGCAATTCGGGGATAATATTGTGAGTGGGAGAGAGAGAGAGAGAGAGAGAGAGGACGAATTGGGGAGGAAAAACATGACATATGCATCAAAAAATCCATCGGAAGAAAAGGGCGCCACGATGGAGAGCTTTTCCTCACTCCGCAGTCACCCACTTTTCCGGCACGAGACGTCGCGCACGCCAAGAGGTGAAGCGCCGCACAAATCTGCTGCTCATAAATAAGTATGCACACACACACACGTGGGCAAAAAAAGAGCCCGCGTTGTGGAAAATTGCACAATAACAGAATGGAGTGAGCGAGAAGTGAATTTTCCGAAGAGAAATTTTCCACCCATTCCGCCTCTTGCAACACTTTCAGCACACAATATTTGTTGGATTGTGTCGCATGTCGTGAAAGCATGCCTCCTCTCTCTTTTTTTTTACGCCCACCCAGTGCGCGCGCCCCTTTTTCGGCCTGCAACGTCAGCCGAGAAAATGGCTTATTTTCCGTATGGAAATAAGTCACAGTGATTCACGAAGGGATATTATTTTTCAAAATTATTCCACAACACTCGACACTCTGGCGAAACACGCAAAAATATGTTGTCGGTGGGCTTTTTTTTATATTGGTACCAAACTTGAATTTCCATTTATCACAAGGGGAAGTTTTTACTGCATTGCCCAGAGAGAGAGAAAGAGTCCATATAATTTTCCATGACAAAACAGAGGAAATCAAGTGAAGCTTTGAAAACTGCAAATTAAACTGTTCATGAGTTCATACATATTTTGGCAAAATCAACAAATTTACACCACTCAATGCATTTTGACCGTTTTCCACGAAACTTTCTCTATTGGGTTAGTGTGCTGTAGTTAACTATATTTTCCACACATTTTACCCTCAATGGTTGGAAACACAAAAACTTCATTTCAGCATAAGAGTAAAGTGTCCACTTTGAGGCTTGTCTAACCGATAAATTTTCATACAACACACAAAAGTGGGCCCTTGAAGAGCATACTTTGATGAGTGTGAATGTTGGTTGTGGAAAAAAGCTCTCGAGAAACTTGGCGATTATATGAAAGAAGGAGTTTTGAATAGTAAAATCTCAACAATCATATTAGCGATGTTGGTTTTTTTTTTTTTTTTTTGAAATTGCCAAACAAAAAACATTTTTTAGACTTGTGTGTGTGTTCTTTGAGAGTGTGAGCAATTTTAGCTCTCTCTGACAAGCTTTCTCACTAACTGTGTTGGGATATTTGAGAGCTTTTGCTCGCGCGAGCGTGGGTGTTTTGTATGATAAAATTGTCGATGTAGAGCAAATCGAGTGAACTGTGTCGCCTTGGCTGTCGGCCAAATTGTTGTCTCATAAATGCAAATGATGTTTTCTGACACAATTTGCCACCCCCTCGAGCTGGTCAATTTAATCTGAGCGCCTAAGGGTGTGGGCTTTTAATCTTATTTGCCATCCGGTGCACAAGAAACTCAGCGCCACACATTTCTTTTGTAATTCAATGCACGGCGGCATTTTTCTCGCCTGAGGAGATTTCTCAGGTGCCGCTTTTGGAGGGGGAGGGGGTTGGTTTTTATCACATTCCACGGCTGGGAAGCCGACCAATCTTCAAACAAGCGTGGGCAGAGCTGAGGGATTCCTTGGGATGTGAGGTGACAAAAGACGGTGAGGGTGTTTTATTTTTTTCTCCCTTCGTTTCACCTTCACCTGGAAAATGCCATTGACACGACGGAAATGTGAAAATGACACACAAGAGCAGGAATTTTTTCCCTGGACTCTTTCACAGTGCCAAATAGCGATGAAAAGGGTGAGATTTGAAGGGATTACCGTGATAAAAATTACATTTTAATGGGTCATCCTCTTTAAGATGGAAAAATTTGTCGGATCTTCTGCAAAATATTATTGCAGAATGACGAAATAAAAAGTAGATCGTCTAGAAAACATCTGGCAATCCTCTTAGTTTAGGCTTTTTCCCTAATGCCTTTGATAGCATTAGTTTCTCTGCAAATCAGAGAATTCTTTAATCATCCCTCATTTAAGCTTCCTGTTTTGGGGAATG